CGTGGTTGACCAAAGAACCGTCTTTACTATAAAGACATTGAAAAAAAACCGTCTTTGGACTTGTAGGGTATATAAACCCAATCATAAAAGGCCGACAGCTCGCCAGATTCTGATACACATCCATACGATTTGAAACAACCATAAAATAAAGACGCTCAAAGAGATCCGATTTTTGTGAGCTTGGAAGATCTGAGGAGTGGGATGGCAGGGGGTCTCTTGCCCATCCCAAGCGTCGTGGGTACATGACCTGTACCCAACAAGTTGCGAGGCTCTCAAGATTAGAACCCACACAACATTGGCCAACTCATTCCAATAGCGGCTCACGAATCCCCCTTTTGTTGGGGTGGATTCCAAACACCTGAGAAAGGCTTCCCCTCCACCCTGAAGCCGCGAGCTTTCCACAAAACCTCGTCTCCTCGTGGGACTGAGTGACTGCACCGCCCCGCTGGTGCCAGTCATCCGCGCGCGGCCCGGCATTGGGCATGCCTGGCTTGGGGAGCCGCAAGTGGAACAAGGCCTCTCGGAGCCGCCGGGCCATGAGCAGCGACCGAAGAACCAGAACCGAGACGGCTTGGAGTGACACTTGGTGGGCAGAAAGGGAGAGGTCTTGTTGAAATGTGATTTGGAGGCATCTGAACCGGAACTTCTTGAAGGACACCCATCTACCACATCCCACAATTCAATATCATGTGGAATTGGTGCAACCTGAAGAGACTCAACGGCGACCCTCATAATAAGGCCCGCCCTGCAGCACGGTCTTCACCGTTCACCGGCCACGGTCGGTCCTGAACGGCGACGCCTCGCGCCGCGACGCCGAGGACGCCTCGGCGGTCCAAAGCGCCTGCTGCAACGCTTCGCCGGACGAGAGGCCTGCCCGGAGAAGACAGGAGCGGGTCGTGGCAGCGGCAGATCCGATCTGCAGTCCATTTGGTTCATGTTCTGTTAAAAGAAGGGACCAGGTAGCCCGGTGCCATGATCCACACCCAGGTGAAAACCCCAATTTTGCTCCTTCATGGTGACCAGCAGGTAAAGCTTTGCCCGCGGAATGAGACATCAATGAGGCTTTGCTTACCAGGACCCACAAGGGGTGGTGAATGGAATCGAAGCCCCTTAAGGGGTCCTGGTAGAGGTTTAGAATTTACTTTCCAAGTGGGGAATGATTGATCACTGCTCCCCCAGAACGACATGATCGGCCCTTACCTGGCTGGATGGTTGTGACATGTTGCAGTCCTGCTACATCCTGCTACGTCCCGTTCAACCCTCAGGGAATTCAGCCACCCAAACGCCGTCAGTGACAAATCAGACGTGCTTGCAGAAATGTTTACATGACTTACCTCTATCCCAGACACTCCATGGGACTGCCGTAGGACTGCCTTCAAAACGGCCAGGGGTGGTGCCACGGGGGTCAATGGCGGGGCATATATGGCAGTCCCATGGGTCGTGTCTACTGGGATATGGTCCTTTGTATGTCTTCCCTTTGTAAGTAAAGTTCTTAGTTGATTCGGTAAGGTCTATTAAATTAATGGTTGTTGGAAGCCTACGGTCTTTGTTTCTTGTTCAGGGACGATCGTCCAGTGAGTCGGCGTCGCCCCGGGACTACCACGCCTGGCATCCGCTCTCCTGCCAGCGCGGCATCAAGGTGCTGCAAGGCGATCGAAGAAGCGCCACCTGGATGAAGGTACCGTGAAAAATGGATACAGTACTGCGGTTATTTTTTTGGAAAGAGGTCACTTTGAAGGTCCTATGTATAGAGTCATGTCATGTCCCATGTTCCACGATAGGACCGAAGTCGGGTTCAGGTACGTACCAGCTGTTTCTCGTTACATGGAGGTGAAAACACCCCATCGATTTCTCCATGCCAGTTGTTGTTTGAGAGTTGCACGCATATATGCAGAATTATATGCAATGCAAATATCAACCATGTCTACTATACATATGATATATGTGAATGTCAAGCATATCTGCTACAGGAAGCAGCTAGCGTAACACGAAAAAGTCTTTATGGTGCGATGCCAAGGAGCCACCGTAATGTGACCTCAACCAGATTGCTGTGCCCTTTAGTTGAAGGGACACCTGGAATCGTGATCCACAACCATAACCATCAAATCGTGCTCAGCATGCTTATCCATCTTTGTGCCGGCGGCTTTTCAGCGACATGGGATAAGGTGCGCCATGGCTGTGGGTCAGAACCAGGGGACCTTAGCTGACCTCATCAACATAAACAAAATGGACTGACTAGGACGGCTATACAGTTCCTTGGTTGATATCACCTATTTCTAAGTGTCCACCAAACAATCTTCTATACCTAAACACTGCCGTGAACATCATAAACATCCCCCCCAGCAGCTCGACCCTCGTTTCATCCGCCAGTTTGCGGGCTTGTTTTACTTGTTTTGGCTCCATCCCAGACACTCCCATGTATATGGTCAATGCCTATCAGTTGGAGGTGGTGCCCGGATCAATTGGCTGTGGGTCAAAACACATATCCCCAAACCAGCATAGGTTGACCTCCTTAATAGTCCTTTCATTTTTTGGTCAACCCAGGTAGCCGGGTTCCGATTTCGTGTCGAGAGCACGCAGCAGCCTTCTCCGAGCCTCGGCACACAGCTGCACAGGCTTCCCTGCGCACGGCCCGGTTCCATGGGTACGACGCCTGCGGCGTCGCAGCGGAGTAGGGGCCGTTTTAGAGAGAAGGGTAGAGAGTCTCTTAGAGTAGAGGGCGTTTTGATGGGACGCAGAAGATTAGTTCGTTTTGATGATCTTTTGGTTTTCCTTATCCATCTGTTTGAGGGGTTTTCCAACATCAATTCACCGATGGAGTCAATAGAAAACACTTGCAAAAGGTGCATGGATGAAACGATGAGGATCCTCAAACTCCCCCGGAAGATCCGACCCTTCTTCAGGTCCAACGTCCGCAGTATACGCACGACGTCTCTCCGCGTCTCTCCGCGGAGAACGTCGACGTGAACGTCGTCGGTGCGTGTGACGCAGCATGAACAGCGGACCCACAGTGGAGTTGGGTGGTTGTTCACAACAAAGGGCTCAAGCAATTTAAACAAAAACACAATTAAGAGTACAATTAAGCTACTAGTAACAAGTGCATCGCTACTAGTAATAAGTGCCTTATATACTAGTAGTAACAAGAAGCCATTAAAAAAAATATCTACAATAGAAATCCCTGCCCAAAAAGTCCCGGAGCATCTCGAGCAGTGCTATCCATGGTGGTGGGGGCCTGTGTCACATCCACCCCTGGATGGGACGAGCCACACCACCCCGAGCGACATGTGACTCCGTATATGATAGCAATTGCATCAACATTTACCTCGAAGAATCGAAGATCAAAGGCAACAAAGAACTGTGAACAGCCTCCACTGCAAGATGCAAGGCTGGTGACTTGTTCATTGGACCTAACAACTAAAAATATCTGATACTTACACCTTAAAAACCCACCATCCGAAGCACCTCAAAAACCTGACTCCGGCGCTTTGGATGCGGCGTGATTCGCCGGTGTCGGCCCTCGGCCCTCCCCACACCTTCATCGCTCCCACGGTGGCGTCGTCGTCGTTCGGGCCGAGGAGACGCTGCGCGCTCCAGGGAGGGGCGTTCGTGGCCTCTGGCCTTGCAGGTGCGAGGACGGAGAGGCGGAAGGCGGGGACCTCGAACAGGTTGGGGCGGGGGTCTGAAACCTGCAAGCACAGGTTGTGCTTGCAGGTTTCGCAAAAAAAGAAAAGAAAAACAACAGGAGAGGCAGCAAAAGTATGAAAAGTATATAACCCGACATAGATGTTGATGGCCAAAGGAAGTTGGCCCTAACAGAGTTCATTCGCCTCGGCCAAGACTATATAGCAATCCAGACACTCCATGGGACTGGTATCTATGCCTACCTGGATCCAAACACCCACCCCAACCGGCGCCTCGAGCCATGAGGACCATCCGGGTGCTCCATCGACCATGCCTAGAGCAGGTGAGATGGCGACAAAGGCACCCTGCTTGCCTGCTCCCACCATTGGTCAAAACATGTCAAAACTACAAGGTCATGAAATTGGACATCAACTTCAAGGCAGGGCTCCGTCGTGTTTTGGCCGTTGGCCACTTCTTCTTATCCTTCTCCCTTCTCTCTCTCCACCTACTCTGGTGGCCAACTCCTTGGAACCTATGGATCCTCCAAAACCATGCGCCCAGCAATCACCTCAGTCCAGCCAGTCCGAGTTCCGATCCCCTCACACCCAGTCCCTGGGCCGTCCTCAAGGCTGCTGGGTGCGAATCCCATGGCATAGGCCTCTTTGTTCGGGAGTGCCATTGGACTGCACGTCCCACCCGGTTTCTGAACAAAAGAAACACACGAAAAAAACAAAGAAGGCTGAAGGTCAGTGCACATGTCTGAAGGGCCAGGAAGCTTTTGTTCAGAAGTCAGTTCAGTCGGATGAATCGCATGAATGATATAGTCAACATGCATGTCTGGGAAACACCCACTTCTGCGCGTGCTTGCATGCATGGATACCATGAACATGATGGACAATCCACACGTCGCTACTGTGGCGCTGTCGAAGGCGGTTGATGTTGGGGACCTGTTGATGAGAAAGAGGAGACCTGTTGATGCGGAAGTCCGAATGCATGATGCATTGGATGAGTGAATCCATGTGCACAATCCAATTGAGCGAAAGATGGGCAAACTCTTCTGCTCTCAGAAGAGCTCTTTAAGAGAAGGGATGCGTTCCAGAAAGACACACCGCAGGATTCAAGTATACAATGTACACGTGGCGGAGACAAACTCAAGAAAGAAAAACATGCCCCAAGAAACATCCAAAAGAAAACCAACGCTCAAAATTTCGAGATATGTAGGCTAAGTGTAATCACACACATATATACTCGTATTGCATTGTAATACGGCTTCTATTTGCGCCGCCCGCCGCACCTGCGCCCAGCGCCTCCTCCAAGGAGTGGGTGTTGTTCGCGCTCGTTTCGCGCTGCTCGGGAGTGGTGTGAGAAAGTCCCAGGGCAGGTCCTGGAGGGCGACGCGGGTCAGGATCATGAATCAGCAATGACCAAGGACGAAAAGAGTCAAACTCCTGGTAAATTATGAACAGTTCGGAGCTGAAAAGGTTGAGATCATGTTGGAAGGTGGAGAAAGTCACCATTTTTAGCCAAGCTACGTTGCAAAGCTTGCTAGAAATTCAATACAGGCATGTTGAATGTCCTTTAGATTTTAGATCTGGAGACATGCTCTTGAAGTCCACGTATTGTCTTTTGAGTGTGAACAATTTGGTCATTCAGGGACTGCAAAGACTTGCCTCAATTCATTTCTTCTGTCCAGGGTGGTCTCTGGTTGTTATATCAAGAATACCAGTACACAACTGTTTCTTCCAAAATCTATCAAGATCTATCAAGTATACAAATCCATACAAATCCACAGGAAACAAACATGTTGACATGTTCCTTTGAAACTTCATCACACTAAGATCCACACTGCAAGCGAGAAAACGTCAAAACCAACCGGAGTCGTTATTCGTCCTCGGCTCCCCAGCGCTGCTTCAAAACGCTCCACGCGCCCAGCGCCATCACCGCCAAGCGCTGCTTCTCGGACGCCAGCGCCGCCTCGAAACGGATGGACGTCGAAACGGTGAGACGAACGGCAGGGTGGTCTGGCGCAGTCGTCCCAGTGCGAGGAAGGCAAAAAAAGGCTCAGGGCCGTAGGGTGACCCATCGGTCAAAGCAACGGCCAGTCGAAATCGAAACAGTTCCACCGACCTGTTTGATCCGACCTAGCTTCACTTCGCCACAGCTTGAAGGATCGAACTTCTTGTTTTTGTTTGAGGGTTTCAACGGGTTCTCAACTCTTGAACCTTGGAGCGAATGACAATTGAAGCTGTCGATTTCAACTTGCAGTTCAACCCTAAAGTTGAAGCCATGCCAAGTTGTTAGCTCATCAATTAGAACGTCTTTCTCTTTGCCATGTCGCGCGACACTGCGACATGGCTCCGACGATCCTCACCTCTTCCTGGGCGAGCCGGTCTTGCAAGGCTCTGGAGGCCTCCGCCTTACTCTTGCTCCGCACGGAGGAGAGGACTTCCAGTGCCGCCAGCGTCAACGGATCCTGCAGAGCTCCGATCCGATCCACACGAAGATGCCCAGCGGATTGGAGGGAAATGCCATGCGGCGCGCCGCAGTGGACCCGAAACAGATCGGGAAGAGTGATAAACAGGCCGACACATGGTGCACGTGCCCACCAAAGACTGTGGAGCCAGTACTGAAAAAAAACACAGGTTGACCATGGTTGACCATGGTTAGCCCTTTGTCATTTACTAGTTGAGTGTTGGGTATACGGAAAACCGGTATAGGCCCATTAGCAGGGCCCAGTGGATGATGATGGTTCAGTTGCAGGTCTTTCTCAAACACAAACACAGTGATCATCTTTTACCGTTACTGTTACCAGGTGAACCTGGGCTACGCCCTATAGTTACTAGTTGAGTAGGGTATGCTATGCCCCATCCCCGCAAAAGATGGTCAAAGGTGATCCAGTCCTGAGAAGATCCGACATATACCAGGACCCTCCAGGCTAGGCGTGTCTATAACCCCTTAGCTGTGATGAAGGGGTGTCCATGTCTACCACCCAACTCCTGGGGGTCCCTCCAGCTACGACGAGATCTGGCTCCGAGGTGGGAGGGATTGAAGAACTGCTAGAGTCGTTTTCAGCAGCCGTGGACCTCGTGAGTCCATTCACAGGCATGGGAGGATCTGATGTTAGGATTTCAGAAGGGTTCCTACAGAGGTTAAGTGACCTGAACGTTCGGACCCGTAACCACCTTGTACCGAACTAGGAAAGTCGAACGGGTCCGTGCCCCACCTCTGGTTTAGGCGCCCAACCAGTCGATGCACTCAGCGACGGCCCAGGCGGTCGCCTGTCTCGACCCGACTGGAGGAGCCTCGCGACTGCTTTGCAGGTCCATGGTGCGGCACTGCAGCAGCACGTTCTGCCAAAGGTCCAAGGATTGAGGCACCGAGCTGAGACACCTCACAACGAAGGACTTGGCAGTTGAAGGAATTCAACCACAAATCTTCGCAGCATAGAATTAAGTTGGGCTTTGTGGTGCTAGGATCGAAGAGACATGTGATGTGGAACATAAAAATCTAATATGTATATAATATATATAATATCAAACTTATTTTTATATCATATCAAAGATTTGGCTAATACTATATAATCCTTCAACACGGTTCCATGGCTTAGGGTAAAGCCCTTTAAAATGAGAAAGGCTGTTGGCAAGGTGCTGTTGATTGAACTTGTTCCATGGAGGAAACCTAGATGTGAGGCACGGTCAAAACTCCTGATTCTTCTTCAACTAAAAAATTGAAGTCATCGGTTTTGAGTTGGACCTTATCGTTTTACAGTTTTTTTTTGAGTTTGTCGCATACTTATGATCATATACAGTGCTGGGGTTATCGGTTTTGAGGTGGACCTTATCGTTTTGCAGGGTTGTGAGCACAAACCTACCCCTCTTTACTAAAGCGGTCTTTGCATGTTTTGACCGTGGCTCATGTGGAAGCCTTAGACCCTCTAGGTTTTAAAGACACGAACGACACAAGGGTATGAAGATGTATGAAGTGTACACAGCAGTATGAAGCACGTGAAGCACCTGCGGGCCATAGATGATACAGTATATATGTCCATTGCATCATATTATACCCCAAAGCAACTTGAAAAGTCTATTGGTCGGTGAGTTTTGCAGGGCCTCAGCATGCATAAGGAAATGGTCTCAATATACTTCAATCATCTATGTCCTTTCGGAAGCCAGGCAATAGTTGGAGCTTGAGCCTCTTGAAGCAACTATAATGATGTCCTTTCGCAACGTCTTCTCTTCCTTCACTTCTTCCAGGAAATCTAACCTAGATCTAACAAGTCTAGCTTGGTGACTCCTTTGAATCAACACAGCTATCACATGGATAGCCGGGTCAACACCCACCCCGCTGCCGCATACTATGCGCCGCTTCCGCGGCCGGTCCACCTGGCCACCGCAGCGCGCGCCCGTGCCAGCCCTGAGAAGAGAACCAACGCGCGGTTTCCCGCGGTTTTCTGGGTGGGGTGAGTGGGGGTCGGGTGACTGAAATAGCTTGGAGTTGCTGAGTTGCTACCCATTTCCATGTTGGTTCCATTTCCACCGGTTCCGGGTGTTCACACTCGGCAGCCTGGCCGAGTTCACGAAAAATCACCCAGTACCTGGGGGAATCACCCAGTGTTCACTCAGTGAAGGGAAAAGAAGAACATCCTGAAGCAAAATCAAAATGGTCCAACTCGGGAAAGAATTAGACACATGTATTCTTTCCCCTCCCCCAATTTCCAAGGGGAGCTACCTCATGTTGAAGGAACAAATCGAAAGATTACCTGCAAACCGGACAAACCAGGGGTGAGCTTCACATCTTTTGACTTCTGGTGAGAAGTAGAGAGTAAAGCCACCAACCAGGCCCCTGGATTCGTAGCAACCCTCTCAGACCTTTCACATACATCTACCTTCTACCTCCTACCTCTGCCTCAAAACCTCAAAGCATCCCACCTAAACCACGATCTGGGAACCTGGAAAAGATGTGAAACGCAGCCAGGGATCTTGATTAACCACCTCCCGCAGACCTGAAGCCACCTGAAGCCAGCTTGTTGATGTCTTCTTTTATCGCTCATCCGTCTGAGTCACCTCAGTTTCCCTCCGCCTGTGTCCTCTCTCCAGGTGCTTCCGTGCCCCAAGAACTGGTGCACCGGCCTGGACGTCATTAGGTCGAGCTGTCCCAGGCGCCGGGTCGATGCACCCCGCCCAAAGAGCGACTGGCATCGAGCTTGATCGCCCCCCAGCTAGCCCCCCCAGCTAGCGAGGAGGTGAAGGATGAGGTGTCCTGGTATAGAGCATCCCAACTCCTCCGGTGGTATAGACCAGTTTCGGTCGACGAGTTGAGGATCTCGTGACAGAATCGTCGCTCGATATCCCGGCGGACGGCCGGACAAACCACCCCAGACAGGCCGTTTTGAAGGCAGTCCGTCCCAGCAGTCCTATGGGTCGTGTGTTATTTGGTTTTAAGTTGCAGGAAAGGAGACATCAAAAGAAAGGCCTTGATGAAATGGGACTGGTGGTCCAGGATTTTGTCCAGTGACAGGGGCCATGTATCTACCGACATGTGATAATTGATCGCAGCCCGCCAGGGTCCTCCGCTCTCTCGTACCGGAAAAACCATGTGTTGGCCATATAGTTACAAATAAAAAACACCTCAACTGCTGGCCCATCTCAGTGGCTTGTGCCGAGTTCTCTGAATCTTCCAGTCTTTAAGTCTGGTTTTGCTCCCCAAGGGGATCGCAAACCACCCGGTTCGCTCGCCTAAGCAAGGCGGCCCGTAAGGCATCGCCAGGCGGTCGCGAGGCTGCCCAGTGGCAGAGTGCTGAAGCACAGGCTGCACCTGGTTTCTGCGACGTGAGCAGGTGCAGGTGAAGAGGAAGCGACAGCTTAGGAGACCAAGTTGTTCAGAAACGGACCCGGCGACGGTGCAAGAGTGGCCAGAACACTGCTAAGGGCCAGGAAGGAAGCGAGCAGTAGCAGGGCTCCAAACTTGGCACTCAACTGATCAGTGTTTCACATGTAGGGCAAGGTCCTCAACTACGAGGGATTTCCTCTGTCCGCACGTGATTCAATCACACCTGGTGGAGACCTTCATTGCCCAAGCAAGGCTCACAGAGAACCATATAGGAAAAACATCACAAACTCTCATATCCCAAGCACTTCATAGGACTGGCCTAAATACCAATCAGTTGGGGTGGTTGATTTCAGGGGGGTCAATGTATGTGCCAGTCCCAGGAGTGTCTGGGGTGTTCATTCGATCTGTCTCTCACATGGTCAAACGACTTACATCACCCACACAGAAAACCTCCCCGACCGGTTCCAATCCCCTAACTCAAACACACTCCATGGATTAAGACTATCTGCCAGTCCCATTGACCGGGTCAATCAAACACCAGATGTCCACCATATGTCCTAATGTTTTCTATGCAACCGTTCTATGCAACATGGTCTGGGAATGGGTTGAAATGACCTCTCTCTCGCCCTCTTCACTCCTTCACTCTCAGAACAAACACGATTCTGATCACTGGGGGCGGTACAAGTGATTTCGTGCCACCCGGGTTCTTTCAAGGGCGCTTCGAGGGCCTTCGAGGCACGGCAATTCGGCGAAGATGTCAGATCAAATCAAATCTGCCATAGATGTTCAATATACCTTTGCAGCCGATACCCGAAGATTTCCTAGGGTTCCCCAAAATACCCGGGGTTTTCACTGGAAACCCGGGTCTTTGCGTTGTCCATCGTTCTTTGGATTTGAGCACATGCATACTGATGCGGCAATGTCTTGTTTGAGTATCGAGACTACACTTCAGTTCAGGAGCTTGGAATGTTGGAGACCTTGAGCGGATTTCTGCAACTTGGGCCACCATGAGAGCTTTCTCACACCGTGAGCATCCGGAAGCAAAAGGCCGAGCTACAGACATGGACCCAAATAAATCTGGCTTTGGGTCGAATTGGCCAAAGCGAAATCCTTTGGCTTGTTCACGCTAAATCGAATCATAGCATGCTGACTGAGAGATGCCGGTCCTGACCCTTTCTCTTCTTTCGCGCTCGCTTGGTTTTCCAACCGAAGAAACAAAACACCGCTTGGTCGGTCGAACCGGTCGGCACGAACGAAAGAAACACCGTCCAACCAACCAACCAACCGATTGGTCGGCTCCGTGCTCCACCTGCAAGGCCTTGTGCAGCATCTGATTGCCCAAGTGCCCCTGCGTCGCCAACTCTTGCAGCACCTCGATGACCGAAAGCGGCCACGCGGCCATCGCACCGGATGGACCGGAGTTGGCCCCAAAAAGGCAGCAATTCGGTGCTCAAATCCTGGAGATAGTCATTCTCCCAAAAGAAAAGTCGAGTGTTTCTTTTTCCGTTTTTTTCAGTGGTTTCATCGTGCGTTCATCGTTATGGCCACGTGACTCGCGATCCACTGTTCCACTTGGATTCCATTTGGAAACATTGCAAAGTACGACATTCTACGACTGGATTTGTGGCTTGTGGGTTATAGCGCGACGTGTGTTTGATGCGGGATGTTCATCATTTTTTGCGTGAGTTGCGGGATGTTCGTTGGTATAGTTTGTTTGATAAGCACCCGCTAAATCGAGATTTCTCTAAATCGTTCTCAACGTTTTAGGTACCTTCAGAGATTTGGAAAGCTGCAGGGCGTTGAGAACAAGACAAATGGGCAGAGTCCACGGAACTGGTACCAGAATGAATCTCATTCATATGTTTCTTTTCTTCCGCCAAAACATTCTCAAAAAGGTGGAGACTGAGAGAAACTGGACCCCCAGTTTCAAATCTATAGCATGTTGGTAGAGGGATGTGCCAGGGCAAACAGGACCGTGTTGTCAAATGTTGTCAAGTTTACAAGGTCCTCAGACTTGTGAAAGGATCACCGGCCTGATCATAGCAATCAATGTGTGTTCAAGCTGGTGCTGGATTTTATGTGGAGAGGCCGGCCTCCATACTGGCCAGTGACAGTGCGAGTCGCATGAACGATCTCAATCTACAAGTACCACAGGCTTGCTGGTGCATTTGACCGAACCATAGCTCAAACAGTACTAGTGATTGTTTGGAAAACGCATCCCTTTCACAGCTCAAAGTGAAATGCATCACCTTCGCGGCATCCGCTTCCGCCGCCGGATTGCTAGACTTTTCCAAAACACCTGGCGTTCAAGTCGGGGCAGGGTTGACTTTTGAGCAGCTTGGGTGTGTGTGTATATTAGAATGGAGACCCCTGTTTGACATTGTTGAAGGAACATAGACCAGAACCCAATTCGTGGGAAGTGTACCCTAGTAAAATACAAATCCACATTGTTCGCATCAAATGACTAAAGTTTGGTCTGTTAAATGTCATCTTTCACCCGTCTATGATGGAACAATTTCATCATTGACCTCTGAATTAAAAAAACAACAACACACACACACACCAGTTCCTCCTGTCAATCAGGAGGTATTCGAGCCTATTTCACCCGATCAAACTTCACGGCTCCTTTCACCCTGAGCGGCGGTATTTATTTGTTGCTAAACTCAAGTACACTATCAAACAAAGCATGCCGTAGACTACTTTAGTCAACACCAAATAGAACTGGTTGCTGGACCTATAATAGTCATCTGTTCAAGTGGGGTGTCACCTTTGTCCCCCCCCCCAAAAGGGTTGGCCAGGGCGGCCAGGTGATGATCTTCGGCCATTAAAACCAGTCGTCCAGTGCGGACTCACTTTCTCCGGGTCATAGCAGGCCTTGCCACCATTCAGCGGGTTGCACCAGGACTAGCTTCGCCAAGGGCCATTGGCTCACCAGGCATGTCACAGGAGGCAAGTCCTTCACATGCTGCAACAGTCCGTGATGGGACTGGTGCCAACCAACTCCAATAGCTACCGGAAGCCCATGCTGTCAGGCATTGGCAAAGAAGTATCAGTTGAGAGTTGAGACATCATTTGGATGATAAATTCAGGACTTCAGCGAGGGCGAACCGAGATGGTTGATGTACATACGACTATAGTCATCTGAGAGGCTTTTCCATGGTCATGATCAAACAAAAAGCTATGGAAAGACTGCCGCTACGAGTACCATGAATATGCTTGTGTTTGGCGCTGATTGCTTTTCTTATCCCTTGCTGGTCGCGGTAAACTCCCCAAAAGATGTGTGTGTTATTAGTTCAGAGCGGCCCTAGAAGCATGAGCCAGTTTTTGGAAGCCCCCTCCTGCCTCCTCCTTCACACGCGGCACATCGGGAGGAAAGACCCAGCTGCTCATGACTGGCGGCTGGTGGTGAACTGAAAGTGCCAGTGAAATGAAAGAGCCCTATGAAATAGGTGATATTTAATATGGAGAACCCCTGGTAGACGATGGGTAAACGTGTGGACACAGAAAGCTACACACCCAAGCTGCTATCTCCCTCAAATCAGAGACCCCAACATCCCTGAAACACTGAAATCCAACTGAAGATCCATCTCCATCTCGCCCTTTCTTGCACGTATACGAATGGAAAGTGCGTTCGCAAACCATTTCAGCGAAATTCTCTCAGGTTGATCTCAAAGCCCTGGGAGTAAAAGACTGATGTTCTTTGCAAGTGACCCGATTTTTTGTCATTTCCTTCACTTCGGTGTGCAAACATCGAACTGGATTTCGAGTCGGGTAGAGTGTTTTATGTTTTAAAAAAAAGTGGATGATGCTTCTGCAGGCTTTTCTCTAAAAGGGTAATAATCTCTCGGGCTACTGCAGGTCATGGGCACAGGCCGCACAGGCTGCCCAACCGCTGAAAACCCAGGTGAGATGTGGTTGCATCGACACGATTAAGCTTGTCAGTAGAACACCTGCTCAAAACAAACGATTAAATAAAACCTGGACCATCCAATGGGTGTTCAATCGCGATCCCTAAGTAGTGCCCATCAGACCCATGTTGAACCGTGGCTTTGGGCATGTTTGCCATCAGCCAACCACCGCAGGACCAACTCGTGATGGAAAGAATACTCCTACCAGGACCCTGTCGGGGTGTCCTGGCTGGATTAGTAGTCCACCTGGCTTCCACTGGGCACCCCGACAGGAGGGTCCCAACAAAAACACAATACCTTCAAAGGGGTCACCATGGAAGGCCCTACACCTTTTGCAGGGACCTCCAAACAGGACACCGGGTATAGCGATGCCAGCCCCGCGACATGTCCGGTCCCGCCTGGCTCGACACCGAGCTGACCGAGCTCCAGCTGCACACGGCCCGTACTGTGCGTCGAGAGGTGAATCTCAACGGTCAGTGGAGCGCGCCAATACTTTCGCAAGACCTCCCAATGACGTGAGCGATCGTATGGAGGACAGGTCAGGTTAGCGGCGGAACTGGTTGGGACGGTGAAGGAGGCGAGGGAGATGTCAATGGTTGTTGGGAGGTGGTCAGCGTGGTCAGCGTGGTTTAGATGAGTCAGGCACGCATGTCCGGCGACTGGGTGAGACGTGAAGCAGTTGAACATGTTGTTTTACAGGAACGATGGAAGGACCGTCAGTTGCGAAGCGCCAGCTTTTGACTGGGGCACCAGGGTATAAGGTCTGAAAAGGATCCTCTTTTTATTAAAACGAGACGTGAAACCGTGGTGAACTGGGATTAGCAAGAGACACCGACCAGGTGTGACTCCAGTTGAGTGAGTGGATGGTGTGACTCCAGAACACCCCGACTTACGCCATGGATCGCACCCTGTCCTCCATGGAACTCATTGTAACTAAAGGAACTCCTGTGGACTCAGGTTACCTTCAGAATCCAGGTTCGACGTCCTTTTTCAGTGCAAACTCCGTAACGGTCCAGGTGCCCAGGTACATGATGTTCATCTCATTTGTGATGGCCCTGGGCTCCTTCCTACCTTTTGATTCGTCTTCAAGTGGTTTTAACCTCTGCTCTGATCGGCTCATGAGGCAACCCAAGTGAAGATTAACAGTGTATCAACTATATATAGTCAATTCTCATCCCATTCTCCGCCCAACATGCACACACATCCACTTTCAAGAGAAACCCACGAACGCACCCACTCCCAGAAGGCTTCTACCAGGCTACCCTCACTCCCACTCCTCTCCCAACCTTCGCCAGCGCGATGTCTCCGCCGCTCGCGCTGAGGTCTCCGCTGCTCTCGCTCTGACATCCGAGAACATGGCGTGCTCGCTCGGCCAAGCGTTGCTGGGCACCCGTGACGAAGTCCTCGACCTGCTGACGTCCATCGTCCGTCCGAAAGGGAACGCGGTTTCGGACGAAGAAACGCGGACGACGTCCGTGTTGCGCGGCGGCCAGAGAAGCGGTTTGGTTTCTGCGAGGCAAAAGAGAAAGAGGGAGTGACCAGCGTTGTTCTTTCCACTTCACTGGATAGTTTTCGGACCAAAGCCCATGGCAGGAGGGTGGGGGGTGGAAATAAGGGGGACCCGATTTTGGGAGCCACGGCCGCCAACGAACATCTTCCCAGTAAGTAAACCTGGCGGCAAAGCGCTTGTTCTGCAACATGTGAGGAATTAAACCTTACAGGATTTGATACGAATTGAGCTGCGAGATTCCAGAACTTCAACATAGTTCAACTGCGCAGTTGACTGTGTTGCCGATGATTCATGGTGGACTATACCGTTCGGTCTTCCAACTAAGCAATTGACGAATGACAAGCATTTCCTCCATTGATTTATGTTTCATTATATATATATATATATCATGTTCTATAGTAGCTACTTAAGCTACTAGTAACACGTGCATCGCTACTAGTAGCAAAGGGCATCGCTACTAGTAAGCTACTGAAGTCAGCGTCCTTGTATTCGATCATATTCAATTCATTTCCTTCACATGTTGTATTCGCTCCGTCCACTCGTGCCTCGCCCGCATAGCCAAAGCCGATTCCCCGCGCTTCTTTGCGCGGTGCAGACGCCGCGGACGCCGCGGACGCCGCGGCGGGAGCGGTTCTGCGCGAGCCTGGAGCGCTTGGAGACGCGACTTCGGTCACCCATCTGTCTATGGACACCCATATCTATCTAAGCAATCTCGGGTGCCAGCGCCATTGACACCACTGTACTTGTGAAACCAAGACTGAAGGAAGAAAACCAGCTGGCACCTGGAAGAAACGAGATCTTGGTGAAATCTTAAGGTTCTCCAGATTGAAAGGACGTTTACTTTCCAAATCATCAAAGTCAATGTGCTGGACACAAGTAGTATAGAATGGCTATAGGGAAGTACAAGTAATTAGGTGCAGCTTGGGGCGACATATAGATGAAACAAAAGGCTTTAGAGGCATCTCTATAGGTTTTAGTCAACTTGATGTTCCTCTCTTCCATTTGCTACTTTGGTTCAAAAGCATACGACCCACTCTTTAGGCGCGTGCACCAAAGATGTGTTTGGGACTCTCTGATGAATCGGGACATCAATGCTCCACCATGTCAATGCTCTCTTCGAGATTGGCGGACAACATGTGCACCCAAACGCGACCCTGGACCATATTGGGGTCGAACCCTCATATGGAGGGGTCTGAGGTCTCAAATAGGTTTTCAGGTGACAAAGTGGCACCTGGAATGATAAGGGAACATCCCGAAATTATTCTCAACCCTTGACTTGCTTCTGCGGGTTATAGAGTAATTCGAGCGTTTAGAGCCCGGGAAAAAAAAAACACAAAAACTTATTTGATCTAAATTGTCCATTGCACAGCCGTTGGTTGCCTTCGGCTCCTTTTGAGATTCTTGTTTTGCCTCTTCGGAGATTTGCTCAAATTACTGCTAGGGGATATGATGGAATCATGCGAAGCTTTGGCGCCCTCACCCATTAGTTACTACTGTTCCTATACTCACTATAGGCCCAACCTCGCCACCAACTCGGCTTTTCCACCGGTCCAACCAGGTCGTCTCGGACCGGTACGTCCGACGTGTGAGACGATCAGGAGAGGTCATGCTATATGCCTGGACCTGACGTCATGATGTCAACTGGAACATGACGGACTGAGTAAAGCAGGAAGGACTGCGAATTCACCTGCACCCGGTACCTACGAGGCAGGTCGACTCGCACGGATGCCCCGAAACAAACCATGGCTGCACCGAAGCATCTGCAATCCCCTCTTCTGTCCAAAGCTGTTGGTCTTCCATGTTCTTCCTTTAGTTCCGTTCCGTCGCGCACCTGGTTCCGTAAGGCCTTTTGTCGTTTCGCCCCTTACTCGGTTCGCGTCCGGTTTCGCACCCGAAGGGCGAAGGAATCCGTGGTCCGGAGACCAACGTTGCTCGGCGTACGACGCGCACCTGCGCCGCTCCGCTCCATCTGCTTTGCCAAGGGCTCCAAGGGAATTTGTGAGGCGACGAACTCCAAGCGATGGAAGGCGCGATTGTAGAACCAGCCGACCTCCGAGCGGGCTGTTGTCGTTTTTTGCAAAGGGAAAAGCCCCCCCAAAAGCGAGGGAAAGTATTGTCTAGCCGCGTGCCCAAGTACGATTGGGAGGGTCGTTTGGGGGATGATATCCAGCTGAACGCTGGTGGTGGGAAAACCATTTTCGGGGGCATATCGAAGGAACCATGGTTTCAAGGTATGGAACTAGTGGTAGCAACTTGGTACCTGAAGAGATTATATAGATGGGAGTTGGGGTGGATTGTTTTTGGGGCAGTTTTGGCTGGTGGCCGGGTTGGCACGATTGGATCTAGACGTTTCTTGAACCTGAATAGCTTGTGTTGAACTATCAACCACCCAATAAGTTCCTGTCCTGTCTTATCAGTCCTATCCTGCAAAACAAGGGTCTTATCAATGCTAGGGTGACAATTTTAGACATGAGGGTCTTCCAACAATGAACATTGGCAAACTGAACGAGCTCGGAGAGATTTGATGAGGATGATGAGCGACCTTCTGCATCAGCTTTGCCCCAACATAATAGCTATGTTGGACATCTCATCCATGGTCATGTACATGCTGGGAACCTATTAATGAAATTCCAAGTAACCAAGTCTCATCACTGAGCTGCAAATCCCCATTACTTGGATTTGCTTACTGGAAGTGGAATGTACAAATCTTCCTCAGAAGGATGTGTGTTCTCTTAATATAGAAAGAAACATGATCAACGACACACAAAAAAAACATTCTGTCATATGATGTCCAGCTCCTCAACCCTCGGAAACCCCATCTTCTCTGGCGCAACTGTCCGCACAACGGTCTGCACCAGTTCCGTGGAACATGTCCTCCCCATCCGTCAAGTGGCGTGCACTTCTGGCGCGCCGAGGCCATGGATCCACTGCTGCGCAAAGTTCCCAAGCTCCCCCTTCAGCCAGTGGAGAGGGCGTGAGGCCGTGGGAGTTAGTGGGGACGAAGAATTCAAAATTCAAAACAAATAAATGAGAAGTGTATAGTCAGCTGTAGCGGTTTTGGTCCGATATTTCTGGACCAAAAGGGGTCGGAGAAGCAGCTTCAGATCCTGGGAGTAAACCGAAGAGAGATGAAGAGATGAAAAACACAAAATCAGGACATGTTGGGTGATTTCACATGGAACGTGTAATTCTTGTATCATATGATTATAGTAAATTGAATAATACACTGTACTGATCTATACGGTGTTCATCATCGATTCAGTCTTATCTCTCATCTGAGTGCCATGCTGTGCAATTCAATGGCTTGATTTCACTCGAACTCGCGGAACTCGCGCACCTGCAGTTGTCGGCTTTCTAACTCGGGGTGCTCAGCCAGCTTCTCCAAGAACTGCTCAGTACTCAGCTGCTTGGTGCCGCTTAGCAGGGCTGCCAAGTGCTGATGAAAGGCCTTCCATCCACAAATCCTGCTTGCCAGGCTTCCAAGCTGGTGAGCTGGTGATCTGTATAAGACAAGACCCGCATTTGTGTCTGAAGCATGGATCACACGTGACACTGCAAAGCGATTGCTTTTACTGACAAGTACTCCCTATGTTCACCCGATTGGCCAAACAGGTCTTTCGATCTTGCTTCCCCACCACCACCGCGGTAGTTCCTGCAAAGCTCATGGCACAGCAAATATGCCTTGAGCTCTCTCACCGGCCCAAGACTCTCAGCCACTGAACCTGAACCGGCGCGAGACGAACCGGCTGAACCGTGGTCCACCGGCCTAATCCGGCCCAACCGTTTTGGATCGAAGACCCTGTATAATCTCGTATTGAAAAAGATTCAATTGATAGAGCATCTTTCGAACCAACATAGTTTGAGGGAAATTCATGTGTTTTTGCATGTGTGCTGCGAACGCTGCCAACGAAAATCTGTAGTAGACGAGGTTCAACACTAAACCTGGGCCTGAACACGTGGCGTTTGTTGCGGGCTGACGTTGGAGGCTCGAAATCACCAAACATGGATCCAAGCTGACAAAAAGGGTCCTTCCGCAACTCTTCAAGAAGTAAACCAAATATACCAAATGAACAACTTGGAAAGGACTCTGATTTAATGATTCCCGACATGGCTGACTTGGTTGCGCAGGAGAGCAAACGAAAACCTCATCGCGCGTTCAAAACCAAACGAAACACAACAAAATCAAAACAAAACAAATCAGAGAGTTTTCCTGGGATTCTGATGGTTTTCTCGTCTTTGGAACTGCCTCGTGTCGTCTGAAGCTGCTCACTGAGACTTTTCCGGTCGAGACCCTCTTCAACCAGCATCTGCCAGACTTCACCTCGGTCGTCCGAAGACGACGAGCGAAGGGCGCCCGAAGACGAGCGCCACCCGGTGTGTCAGGGTTTGTGCAAGCGAAAGGAGTGAAGGAAGTGTTTAAAGCAAAGACACATTTAAATTTAAACCCCATTGCAGTGCAAAAATACTTGGATGCCGATCTGGTATAAAGGTCTCTGGAGTTCCAAGAAATGCGGTTGATACCCCATTCCGACCATTGAGGTGTCACTGGTGCCCGCTTAGGGCACCACGCGTCACGCATGCGCGTTTTCCGGTGGAAGCACTTTGCCCGGCCATGGTATGGACGAAGAAAACGTCGTTTCCAAGTCACCTTCGTCATGAAGGCGAGCAGAGATTTCCTCAGTCCAGGTGTGGGCAGTGCAGGAGCTGGGAAAGTTCGCGATTCTTTTTTTCCCTCCCCGAAGGCTCTTTTCTTTTGTGGGAAAGACTAACAAACTGGGCGAAGCCACGGCAAGAAAAATTTTGGTCTCATCAGTATCTCATCTCCCTCCCATGAAGAAATGCCTTTGTCTGATCCTGTGACTGAAAACCATGGTTTCACCAAAAGCATAAGCCCACACGCGCCGGGGGGCATGTTACCTGGGCCAAGAGCCAAAAACTGTTGCCAGTTCATCTATAGATATATACCTTGGAAACTAGTTTTTATCTAGTACATCTCTATATGGACTGCTTATACTGCCCAACTCTGCACACCTGCTCTCCGCGCATTTTTTGTTCCATCACCAGCTACTTTCTTTTCCCTCCTTGTCAATGTAGTGATGCACAATCCCTTCCGAGGATAGTTTCAACCCCTTCCGCTTGCTTGCTCAACCGCCGGAACATCCTCCAGATTCACAGGTGTGATTCCTTCCAGCTGTTGGAAGCAAGTGGCCACATTGGCAAACTTTGGAGGAGCTGTCCTGTTCCCATACTTCCCTTGCAGAAAGTCTGATATGTGTGTTCCTGCATTTTTTTGCGTTGATCAAGCAAACACCAACAGAACGCAAGAGGGGATCATGTCCATTCTAGGGTGACGGAACGTGGGGATGGGTGGAGTGGAGCGGATTCGACAGGCCTGGTTGTTGCTAGGATGTGAGGGTCTAGTGGTAGGTCTGATTCGAGGTGCTTATAGACAAGTAAAGTACGATCTTTTAAAGTACGGTACCTTCATATGAATGAAATGAAAACGAACAAGTTTAGCGAGTACTTTGGTTCACAGAGAGATATAATATACTATATCGACTGGCAACAACTAATATTGGGTATAATAGTATGGGTACTGGACTGGACTAGAAGTTGGTACTTAATTGATCTTAATTGGGTATTGTATCACATTACCAGTAACAGTGGGTTTTTTTCCGCTTTGCATCTTAACGAAGTGAAGTAGAGTGGTATTCACTTCCAGACAGTTGGTCAGTGTTCACGCACCAACAGCCTAATGGGAACTAATTACAAATTGGAACACGAACGAGGCAATGCAAGGTCGGCAAGCAAACGGACCAAATCTTCCATGAGAAGACAATGCTCAAATGCACGAAGTGAACTTCATTGCTGCTGGTCCAAAATGCAACGCACAATCTGATCGAACGACAAATTCAAAGACTCGGGGTGTTCTGGCACGGGCAAACCAGAAACACGCCAATGCAGGTTGAAATGGCGGGAAGGCGGTGAAGCCTGTTTGAGGTAGGCATCAAGAGCTAAAGCTGAATCGAAGCCAGAAGCAAGTTTCGGTCTCCCCTTCAGGGCAGGAAACCAGCCTCTGATGCCAATCCAGTTAAGCTCATCTGTGCGATTAATCTGTTCCCGGTCATGGCCAAAAGGATACACGCCTTGGGCGTGTAGCCACTTGAGACAGAGAATGACAATTTTGACTGTGCCGCCAAGGTCTGAGGACCCTTAGCGTCAGCTTCTTTGGAAACGTCTTGTAATCTAAAATCAGAGACCCCCTTCCAAGAACGAGCTTTTCCGGGGGCCATGTTGACTGGAGCAATTGATTTTGTTGTGACTGAAAAATCTAGGTACAAGTGTGCAAAGGTAATACGAGTAGAGCAAGGACAGTTCAGCCCACACCAATGCAACTGCTTTGCCCAAAGTAAACGGAAACAGAAGAGTGGGTGGTAAGGGCACCTTTTGCACAGATCAAGATCAATGTCAATATTGACGCTTTTTCAACGAGGACATGGGGCCCACTTGAGTTGGGCTGTGGCGAGGACATCCGCCGACTGTATACGACCACGCGATTGGTTGTCAAGTTTGTTTTGCATTTATCGAGTCCACCCAAACAGCAGCGACGAATTGGTAGATGGAATCAATTTGTTGTTGGGACTGCTGCATCCTATCTAAGATCTGGGTGTGTTATTCCAACAGGGTTTTGTTATCTTGTAGAAAAACGTTTTGGCATGGAAATCGGCTTGCGAGTTGGCAAATGATTGAAACCGCAAGGTAGCATCCAAGATTTGGGACCATTGTTCACGTGCTTGACATCTCAAAAATACTGATCATATTTTACCGACTGTTACTGTACTGGTAATGGGCTACACCCTATATATATATATATATGTACATCTCTCTCTCTCCCTGCTCCTCTCCTTCCCCCTGCTTCTCCAAGCATCTGCTTCTGCTAGCCCAGAAGGCCAGCGCTGCAGTAGGACACCATCTGCCATCAAACGCCGCAAGCCATGCGCCAACCATGGTTCCAGCTCCAACAAGAAGCCAAACCTTGGCTCCTTCCCAGCTTCCAAAGCCGGAGAAAGCTCGGATGGAAAATCCGAGAGGTTCGAGGAGATATGATATGGGGCCCAGTTCTGAGTCCAGGGGCAAAAGAAGGCACCACCCCATGGACTCTCCGAGATATGGATGCGGACGGTTTTTGGCCCATGTCCGTGGGAGAAGGAGCGGTATGTGTTGGGGGATACAAGCAAACTGAATTCTGCGATCTCAGTAAAGGACAGTATATAGGTGGTAGACCCACTAAACTGGATTCCCACCACTCTTGCCTCACTTGGAGAAAGTAGAAATTCTTCCCCAGAAGGAGGATTCACCCACTAGTGAAAGTAAAAAACCACTAGACCCAAGCAAAACCAGGCCAAAATGTCTTGCCCCCTGTGCCATCGATTCACGCCTTTACATTGGTTTCAAGGTGAAAGTCTCACTTGGCACATTCAGATGCATCAGACTTGGCACATTCAGCTCGGACCAAGCAATCAGCAGAACAGAGCTGGAACAAAAGACACAACATTGGGCAAAAAAAGCAGTGAAATCACATGACTTATTCACAACTCTTCGTTTTTGTTTTGGATGTTTTGGTTGGACCATGTTGTTCTTTAACACTCTGTTGCTTTTCTGGATGTTTTTCTGTTGGACCATGTTGGACCTTAAAGGCCCCTCTGTCAAGGACGCCAGGTCACCAAGCAGAAGCCAAGGCGTAGCTGCGCAAGGGTTGCACGATCGAGAGAGTGAAACTCGGACAAGCACCTCAGTGACTCGGTGACTCGTACAGGGAAAAAAAACGAGCACAGCATCACATCATGTCTTTCTGCCATTTCGTAGCCTTTTTGCCTTCCTGACATTGGCTGACTTCGAGTTCGTTCTCGGACCGAGACGTCCCACATCGACCCGTCCGTTGGGGTCGGTGTGGAAGCTCCAAAACGGTCCGGACCTCGTGGGTGTTGGGCAAACTCTTCAGGACCCGAGACACATGTGTAGCATGGTCATGTTTGTGCATCTTTGTCCTGCGTGTTGTGTGCTTGGCATGGCTCGTGTTAATGACATATTGATAACATATGGTTCATATTTGATCATCATTGTGAGCCTATTATAAGCATCAAATCTACATATATACAACTCAACAAAGAGGGTGGATGTAGCTCCCCAACCCCCCAAAACCACCATTCCCCCCCGCGGCAGGGCTCCGACTCCATGTGTTGGATTCGACATGATTCGACTCTCCAAAACCTCGGGCAGCCCGACTTCCCAGCAACGTGAGGTCGAACAAATAGACGCTGCCGTGCAGGGTGAGCAAAGGGAGACTGGAGGCCTCAGGACCAGGAGTCCGTCCACACGTGCCGTTGATCGACTTGCCGACGGCGACGTCGGCCAGTCGCGGCCCGTCTGATTTGTCGGGGGCGTTTGGTTGAGCGGTGAACGTCCCGCGAATGGAGGTGGAGCGGTGTACCCAATGCACCCCAAATAGGATAAAATAGGTGAAAGGATGTATTCCAGGTGATCCACTGACAGGATAGGCACCAAAAAGAGCACCAAAAAGAGCCATGCTGGACGGACTGGGTCCTGGGTGTCCCGAAGATCTGGGTGTTCTGAAGATCCGTTCCATCACAGGACCCATCACCAATGAGTGTTTGCCTTTCTGCCTTGGCGGCCTATCTTGCGCTCAGGATTTGGAGCAAAATCAGGAGAACAGAAGAAGCTGAGCGACTCGTCTGATCCATCGGACTTCCAAGGCCAACACTTAACCTCGAACCGAAGTGTTCCGACCGAGACTCTCATGTCACCACCGTTGGGGACACGGTGGTCGCGTGGTCGAAACACAGCGCCCGGGTCTACTGCCCCACCGGGTTCGCCCGGCTCCGCTCGTATGGGCCGTCGGGCGAGTTCGGCGCCAAGCAACATGGATCCGTGAGGTCCTCTCCATCACCCGCTCGCAGGAGGGACGGACGAGTGGACAGGCCAGTGGACGCAGATGCGGCAGCGGAAGGAACATGGCCGTGCCTCGGACGGTCGTGGAAGACTGACACACTGGAGATGAACAAATATGGAAGCTGAAAACCATTGGCTACTAGAGGATAATAAGGTTGGAGGCCATCGCTAGTAGGTTGGAGGCCATTGCTAGTAGGATATCGTCTTCCAAAGGTCCATGCCATCAGGTTCCATGTGGGTCTCTTCCCAGGTGTGGCCACCCCAAGGGCGAGACCCAGAAGAGATGCAGTCTTCCCAGCGAGATGAAGAAAATGGCTCGTTTAACGAGGTGAAAATGACTCAAACGGCTTAGGCAGTCAATCCACTAAGATGCAAACCTCTTGATAAGAGCACCCATTTGGATTGTAAAACCATCTGGGGGTGTTATTGTGTCAAGAGTCTACATTCGTGAGGCAGTCAACCCGCCTTGGCGTGCACCAAAGGTGAACATGTGTCAAACTCCCAGTCCATAATACGTAGTGAAACAACTGCCGGGAAAGGCTGGGGAGGGTCGGAAGGGACCCATCACAACCTGGCCCTAGTCTGAATCGCGTGTGTAGCCATATAACACAATCAAAATCGATCCAAATTCTGAAATCTGAGTTGGGGACTGGATGGGACTGGTATCATTCTGGCACCTCTCGTCCTCAAAAGGATTCAAAAGGAGGTCAATTAAGTGATGTTTAATCCATGACGATCAAAACAGATGTGTGTTGTTTAATAATCCCTCCACCCTTATGGGGGACCCATGTGGGGGGGGGTGACATTCCACACCTCTTCCCCCAAAACATATGAAAACAGCATTTGATAGCATTTGTTTCTTTCCCTCGTCCGGCGCACCGCAGGTTCTGCAGGATTCTGCCCCTGGAGGAACCATATTCTGTTGTTGTTCGCTAAGTATATAAAAAACAAAAACAAATCCCTACAGAACAATACAATACATAACAAACTATACACAAATAACAATCAAAACGATCAAAGATGATCAAAGCAAGAGTTCATATGGATTCAACGATATCAAGATGTATAAAACACAGCAAGTATTTTCTTCCGACTCGCTCAATATGAATACACGGAAACTGCCTGCTACAAAGCTGGAAGTAAATGGAAAAGGCGGCCTCACTTTGGCGGCGCGCCCGGCGTGCGGCGCGCCGGGCGTGCGCAACCCGCGCTCTATTTACGAACAAACGGAATACAGACGGACACTACGCTCACAGAGGACTTGCCACAGTGCTACAAAGCTTGGAGTGATGCAGAAAGCGTATCGGTTTTCATGGAAGACCGAATGTATAGAAATCTATTTCTAGTCTCTTCGCCGCCACTTGCGCTTCAGCGCGTCTCCTTTAAGCGCAAGTGGCAGTGAAAGGAGTGCAAGTGGATGCTCACCCACGCTCCAATTTAGGGTACTTGCGCTTAAGAACGTCTCCCTTAAGCATACGTCCACAATCACACAATTTTGACCTATTATGACCTATTGCTTTTCTTTGTCTTCAACGACCGGCAACCGAGAGAGCTGAAGCTCAAGCGCCAACATTTCAAAAAATGTCAAGTTGAAAAGATGAAGAGGTGTATGTCACAAAATGTCCCAGATGTTGATTCTGGCTTCAAGTTATTTGGGTATATTGAGCCATCTTGAGCCCGTATGAAACCATTTGACTGCTGGCTTTAAATTCAGGCTATGGTTTATCTATTTTGGCCACCTGGCTGCAAAGAAAGCCTCTTCATTTTAGACCACCATAGGTTCTATCAAGATGAACGTAATGTTAGCCTAGCATTTATCAACCCCCTATAGCAGTTAAAGTTTCCTGAAATCCTTGGGTCTCCCAAATTTTCAAGATTTCAAGGAGTTTGAAAGAAAAGTAAAGGAAAACAAAAGGAAAGAAATATACAGGATTTTAAAAGGAAAGTGAAGAAACGTAAAGAAAGTAAGGAGGCAGGAGGTTCAAAGAAAAGTAAAGGAACGCAAGGAAAGACGGAAATGAAAGGAAAATGATTTCAAGAATCATCAAGAATCTGCGAAAATCTAGGTGCCCATTATGCTTAAGGGAGACGTTCTTGGGCGCGAGTACCCTCCTTCCCCGCCCCCCCCTGACGGCTCGTAACCCTGAGGTCGTGGGTTCAAACCCACCTACGTCTTCGGTTAGAGTGTTTTTTTGCTTTGCAGTGTAGTGAAGCCCAAGAAAAATGCACCATTTTGTTTACGGATCCAACAACTTGCTTCGGATCCACATATCCACAGCCGAAGAGGCAAAAGCAGGAAGTTGGAAGTTGGCTTTCAAGATTTGAAATCGTTGCGAGCTTCGATGCGTTTTTATTTGAAGTAAGGTGAATCCGCTTCAAAACTAGTGGTTGAAGGCCATAAAAAAGAAATCAAAGCGCTTCTCACATCGGCACATGGCTCTTCAAGTGAATCCTGAAAAATGCTGACAGTAAATTACAGATCTGATGAAAAATATTGGAAATGATGACTTCCACTACCATCACTACTGCCTGCCTCTCTGTGAAGTAAATATCTGAGCATAGTATGATATAGTATGATATAGTACTTCATGATGTTCATTACGCTGGTGCTGCATCTTAGTGAGCCCAAATCCTCTGAAATCCACAATCCAAGGTGGAATGTTCCATTGGAATTTCCAGGGGTACCCCCCCCAAGATTCCAGCTTTCTCGCCCCTGGCTGGGCAAAACGGGTCTATTTCCCCAACCAGGTCGGAGCACCTGGGAGGTCTACTTTCGGCCTATGATCAACCCATGGCGGCACGCTTCAACGAGTTGTGTCGAGGTGCATCCAAAAAGTGGCCATGGATAGTCCAGCCTCAACGCTCCGATCCGGATCCCCCCCGCCCTCCGCGCTCCGCGCTCCGCGTGAAGGGCCGGGCCGGGCCGAGCGCTCCGACCGCTGCCGAGACCGCGCGAGACGCTGAAGGGTGACATCGTGATCGACGTCTAACGACGAAGTTGTACCGATCCCGGGAATGGTCTTCCAAACCAGCTACGGCGGCTGTCCGCTGACGTCCGCGGTCGATGCTTTGGGGGGGAACCGTCCCAATCCATCCCAATCCCCCCAAAATCGAACAAATCAGTGGATGTTGGGGGCAGCTTCGGGCAGTTTTTCGGCGCGAGGTGGCTAAGGTTCAGCCGCTGCCTCAGTGGCTGACTCTGCAGGTCCGGGCCCCCGCACGTGTTGACCAGGCTCCGGCGGTCGGCCAGGAATTCCTCCAGTGCTTCCGCCAGCTCGAAGCCACGTGGTGCCAGCACTCGGAGCCCTGACACTCACGCCGGCGAAGAAAAGAGGCACAGCCAATTCAGACCCAGAATATGAGTGGAATCGATATAACATGATATAACCAATCATCTCAATGATATCGGTTGAAGGAAAAGTTGAACATATATAGATCATCTGAAACCACCACCCACAGCTTTTGGCTTTGAAAGCGCCGTCGAAAGCAGAGCTCGAGATGTTTTGAGCTCGCCTTCTTTCTCAAGTTCCTCCAGAGGTCCGGCGATCAGTGGTACTTCACTGGGGAACAAAGCTGTCCCCTCAAAGAACCTTGGCAACGCTGCGGAGGAGGGTTTCTTCTTTGGGACTTGTTTAAAATAGACATTCACCCTCAAGCCGCAAGCAATCAGTCGCAGCTTTTGGGGTGCTAAGGGCAGGTTGAATAAGCTCCAAAAACAAGCAAACTCGGTATCAAAACACCCAGCGTTGCTTTTTGATTTTCAGCTGCGCCAACGAAGGGGGGAGTGGTCACTGTGTGTACACTTCGATGTCTAGCCATGGAAAAGGAACACACATGGAAAACCGCCTGTTTTTCCACCAGAACCCACAAAGTGGTTCATGGACACCCCTTATATAATTGTAACCTCTTTTGTGTTATCAATAGAAGCCCCTCATTGTTAGGGGGTCCTTGTAGAGGAAAGTCGTCTTCCAAGGAGCCATTCTCCCCTTCCAGTAAGTCGCCGTAGAAACCCAACAGCTCGAGCGCATGGTGGTCATGTGAAGGCGCGCGCGAACCGCACGGTAGCCGTAGAACGCGTGGTCCGAACCGGAACTGCAAGTCACCAGCTGCAACTCGTTGGGCGGGATCCACGTACTAAACGGTCCATGGGACTGGCATTACATACATTGAGCCCTGAAATCAACCACCCTAATGTATGTATGGTATACCATGGTATACCATACATGGAGTTTCTGGGCATGTGTCAATTTGTGTGTGTGTGTGTTCTTTCCGATGGTGAAGCCTTCCCCTTTGAGCAACAGGAGGACTCAAAGAGATTGGGGGACATGCATAAACACCATATACAATATATGGTCAACACTGTTGCTGTATATCAGATGCGCAATCACCAAATCCTCAATGAATATTAATTAATCATAATGAATCACATGTGGAAATAGGAAAGTCATCTAAGCATATCTAAGCCCTCTTCCACCAGGACCCTCCAACAAGTCACCAGCTGTTAAAGTCAGCAAAAACCTCCATTTGAAGACCTGTTGGAAGGTGCGGGTGAACTCATGTTCTTTGCCAGTGCCATGCCACCATGCCACCACCATGCCACCATGCCCTGGACACTGTTCTTCGGTGGTCCGATGCTCCAGGTCTCTGTGTCTCACCGGGTCACCGGGGTGGTCAGTCCAACGTCGGGCGTCCGATGTCCATCGGCCCAAGGAGCCAAAGGCTGCACCTGGACGGTGAAAGCTGCTTCCGCTGCACCTGGACGGTTTCGGATCTGAATCGGTTACCAGGATCCAAGAGAAGGAAAGATAGAAGGACGGAGTGAAGAAGAACGACATGCTGAAGCTGGGCACATGATGTTGCCTGTAAATCATTGTGAATCTAGTGGTTGATGTTCAGTTTGATAGTGATATATATAGTGATCGATATTCTGATATATAGTGATTGACTCTTGGGTTTGATTGGTTACTATATGAGTAATGGTTAACCTCAGGTTCAAGATCATCCAGTCACCTGTACCAAGATTGGAAGGCAACCTCTGACCCTTTGAGATCTGCAGAAGATCTCTTCATCGTAAAGAACCTGATCCAGAAAATCCATGAAGCTTGGTGCTTGCCCCCCCTGCAAATGATCCTAACATGGGCCCTCTTCGCTTTCAAAACATCAAAAAAACGTGGCTCTCTTCCGGTCCGAAGACCGAAACAGCCGTGGTTTTGGGGGGAGAAACAGCGGCTAAAAGAGATGTTCCATGTGCTCCGGCCGAGTCAGTCATGGAGAGTCTTGGAACATCCATGTTACCACCAAAAAAAAAACGCGGTAACCGTTCAAATCATATGCCATAGACCTAGAAACATCTCGACACCCTGTATCAGGTGGTTTTGTGACAGACCGCCCTGGAGTGCTCTTTTAGATCTAAATCACCACCCGAAATGGGTGCTGGCACTCCCGGGAACCTCGCCGGTCCTCCCAACCGACGCAGACTGACAGGAGGACGGGCGATCCGTTCAGCGCTGAACGCACAGCGGCGTGAAATGGTAAAAACAATACCCAGACACGACCCATGGGACTGCCATAGATGCCGAGAAACGGCCAGGGGTGGTTCAGTTGGGGGGTCTGGCTTGATCGGCCTATGACAGTCCCATGGGTCGTGTCTGGGTATATAAACAACCCAAACGCGGCCCTGGACCCTCACACCGTGGGCTCGGACCCCGAATTTTCTGGTCGGACCGGGTTGTTCAGCAATCCATGTTTTGAGGGACCAGAAAAGGGCTGTGAACTCACGGAGCGTCTGGGAAGTTGTTTGCCAAACACACAAGTCGTTGGTGTTGCTTAGACTTCTGAAATCCAGCTTTTTACCACGGCGGCGCGAATATTTAGAGTCTTCACTCGCTCTGTTGCATCCACGGCTGGCAAGCAAATGCAGCAACATCTGGTCACAACAGACTGTCGGAGACCTGGGTTAACCGTGAACTTGTGAAAATGAACAGAAAGGAACTACGAGACATGGTCAACCTACGGGTGAAGTGGGTCCCAGGTAAAACCCACAGCCATTCAATCTCTCAGTCTCCGAGCCAGGGCGCTAAACGCCCAGCCGTTCCACAGGAGCATCCCACGGGCAGTGTCACCTCAATCTCCATTGGGCACCGCTGTTCACACTCGTCCTGCGTGCGGACAGTACCCCCCCCCACAGCCGCACGGTGTCGGACGGCTTTGCTCAGCTCGCTCTTTTTTCGGAGGTGTTTAGGTGTTTCGGATGGAAGGTTGAGAGCAACCTTGCCTTCAAGCGCATCCCCAGGTCGCTGAGCGGGCAAAGAGCGGGGTCGCGGGGCCGCGTTGGTGAGGCAAAAACATGCACAAAAATGCACAAAACAAACAGAACGGGCCCGGGTTGCAAGGCTTGCAATACCTCAACCGGACTTTGCCTGTCTTCCATGCACATGAGTCAACATTGTCCCCAAAAATACACCATCTGGATTCATCACTGAAAGAAAGTTAAACCAAGCCAGCAGAAAAAGGCTCGAAATAGCTTTGCCGAGGTGACTTTGTCAGTCATTGATGGTTTCTTCCCAAGCATTCTCAGCACACCATTTTCTCTCCGTATACGCATTTTTGCGGCAAGCTGACATACTCTACAAGACTTCCGTCGATCGACCCCTCTTCGGGCCTGTGAATGCCAAGTTGGAAACCAACACTGTCCAAGATGTCCTCCGAGCAAGCTCCACGAACAAGGCCAAATGGGAGGTTTGTTGTCAAGAAACATCATCGGCGAAAGCAAAGGACAAGTAGAGTAGGTGTCAACAATACTTGCAAACAAAAGATTGACACACAAATTTGATTAGTCCAACACCAGAATTGAAAAACAACGTTCAACTCGCCAGGGAACTGGCCTGTCAGGCGTTGGGTTCGATCGAAGCTCGAACTTGTCGGCATTGGTGAATTACTTGTTACTTGTTACTATTTGGATAAGGCATGATCTCAATATATCTATATCTAAATTAATGGGCTTGCAGGAAGGGCGGTGCCTGTCACCACGGCGCTGTCAACAAAGACGCACATGGCGCGACGATCGCTCCGTCCGCCTGCCAAGAAGAAGTCCATGTCTGCACTACTTTCCCGATCGAGTCCATCACTGAAGCCACCTGCACGCCGCGCGGAAAAAACGCGCTGGACAGGCGAGGACCGGAGAAGACCATGCAACGCTGCACCGGTGCCCGTAGCGCACCGGTGCATCTGAAAGCATGTCAGAAAAAAGGAAGATTCAAACACCCAAAAACGACAAATGGGACCGCCATATTTGCCTACCTTGGGTTACCTTGGGGAAGTTCAGAAGTTAATCTTATAGGTAAATATGCCATACATGGAGCGTCTGGGTGATGATTCTATGGAATGTTCATGAATTTTCGGAATCTTCTTCCCTTGCACGGCAGCATGAAAACAGTCGATTGCATGCACTTGACAAAACTGCCCAGTGCCACCTCCATCGATTGGCTAGTTGTCAGGACAGCAGCATTTAATTAAAAGATAATCTTCGAAGTCATCAGCTCTGACTAGCAATGGCAAGGTTGTACTCTCTCCAAGCAATACCCCAAGCTGAACAAGCCGCACTCCTGAAATAATAATGGAAGTGCAATTGGTTTCACTCTTCAGGGTGAGCTGGTCGTTTTATTTGGTTTTAATTCAATATCATCCAATATCAACTTCTCACCGTGATCTTTTGCTTCATTGACTAGGCAGCTCGCAACCTGGTCCTCATACACCAAGAGTTCGTACAGAGTATAAAAAAAAGGCCGACTCGACGTACTCGCTATGTGTGTATAGAGGATTTCATGGTCCTCTGTGTTCTTAGCTGTTTGGAAGGGGAGCATCTGCCAAGCTCTATATCGAATTCCAATGACCGCTAACACCGTTGTCGCCAGTTCCACACCAAACTCTTCGGTGAACAAAAACGAAGGGTTAGGAACTCGACCCGCCTGCATCCCGTGGATGCACTGGAAGTCGGATGAAGTGTTGCAACGAGGTCTCAGGCATCACTTGCTCGCCTTTGTTTGGCGCGCGGAGCTCAAGGGATCGTTGGAGAGTGTTTTGGAGGTCTCCGGGTCTGGTGAGAAATCAAACAAGATCAACAAGCATCAATTCGAGGCCTGGAATGGCCTCCTAGGTCGGCATAAATTTTAGGCCGGAAGGCCCTCTTTTCAGCAGCACCATCAAAGGGTGAAGCTACCTGATGTGACCAGAAGCATGGTGGAGAACAACTCCTTCCAACCCGGAACTCATGTGGAAAAGTCACTGAGCACTCTCTTTTGGGGTCAATCTCAATGGCAAAAGTGAATCGAGAAGGAAGGCTCCTGGAGCCTCCAACGAAGCAGTGATTTGGTTGCGATGCTGAATGCGTCTTCTCACGTTTGCACCCTGGGAATGGGTCAGACGCTTGACCTCCAAAGGGGCCCGCTCGTCCAATTCTGTTCACTTCTGATCAAGCTGGGCCCCTTACCCCGGTGGCGACGTCTTCACCCCTGAAGATCACCGCGTTGGTTCCAACTTCCAGGACCGAAGACGGACGACGTGACGAAAAGACCGAACGACGACGGGTCGATCCCAGTGGCGGAGGTCGGTCACAACTCGTCGTCCGCCCGCCACAAAGGTCGGTCACGTAAAAACAGACTCCGTCACGTAGACTGCGTCGGTCGTGGTGGAAGACATAACTGCGAGAAGATCCATGTGCCAAAAAGAAATAATTCCGGAAGGTTCCAACTTCTGGGGTTCCGACCTTTCAGGATTTCACACATGTTACGTCACATGTTGACATCCGCTCGTTCGTGGACTCTCAGCTCGCTGGTTTTTGCTGATTGGCCTGCCATGGTCCATTCAACGGCCAGCTCCAGGACAAAGCCGGTGCTCCTAGTCGACGAAGGCCCAAGAAAAGACGAGGCAAATCGAGGCCGTCACACCTCAACTTCATCATTGGGAACTTTCGACGTGCGGAATCTGAGGAACCTGGAGAAGAAGAACTCACGACTTCTTAACAGATTCACATAAGATTCACCACCCAGCTTGAAGAATTTAAATGTAAATCAACCAAGATCACCTGTACATCAACTGACGTCCTTCGACCAGAGTCCCACACTTCTGGCCCAAACAATGCAGTTCAGATCAGTTCAGTCCTGTCAAGAGCTTCTGTTTCTCCGGACGCTGGTCCCACCAACTCGTGCAAGGCATCCAGGGTTTCCGCATCGAGAAGCAACGCCTCGGCGAGGCATGGCGATGGGCATGGAAGTGGTGAATCCTCCAGCCACCAGGTTCTTCAGTGGAGTTCCATCCAGTGACCTTTACAGACCCAAGTGACCGGGATATCAAGTTCGGTCAAGTAGAAGAACCAGGCACTCGGATGTCCGCGGGCAGTGGGCAGTGGGCAGTCATAAGATCTTTAAGGGGGACACGTCCTTTCGTTTCTAACATCATGAGGTTTATATCGTTCAAAGGATCGATCCTCTCAAGAGCAATCCTCTGATAAGCCAAGGAACATTCTCTGACCGACGTACATGCAATGCTCCACCTGCCAAACACTCTGTGGAGGTGGTGCAAAACACAGGTGCCTGCCCTGTAGCTTCCTCCGGCAACACACCAAACAGAGCAGCATTTGGCATTTGGACTAACAAATCAGTGGTCTTAGGCGCCAAAGCCTTGGGTCCTGTTGATGCACCCCTTGGCTCCCCTGGGCTCCCCTTGTAGATGAAGCGGAAAAGCAAAAACGAGTGTCATATGCCACCCTGTCTTGCCGCCTGAATTGTTGCAAGACGTCAAGCGACCTTAACCGTAACCTTCGAAGTGGACTATTCAGACCGCAGAAAGTCTGGTCATGACTCGTCCCTAAAGGTCGTTCACCTAGGAGACTCTAATAAGGTCACTGACTCCGTCGGTCGTGGTGGAAGAAATATTGAGAAGATGTGCTGAGTCCAGTTGTTGTTTCCCTTTAGATTCCAGGTCACCTTTCAACTTCAGAGACTCCATTTAGAGGTCGCTGCCGGCAAAGGCCTCCCCACCCCAGGTAATGAACCCTCCCCCCTGGGCGATCCCCGGAGCCCGCGCTCCGAGGTCGCGCCGATGGTCGCGCCTGTCTCCTCCGCGTCCAGCGGAAGCCAAGGAGAGACCTGGCGCAGCAGGCAGCGCGCTCTCGCTCTCGGCGAGCTTGCAGCAGCGCTCTCCCGACACGACGAGTCTGCTTCTGCCGGACGGCCTTCAAAACGGCCAGGGGTGGTTGACTGAGGGTCCATGTAGGCTATGGCAGTCACATTAGTCGTGTCTGGGGAGCTCTCCGCCCATTCCGGTTTGAAGAGATTCCTGCGACCGTGTGTTTTTTTTCGATGGCTCGCCGCGGGTCCACTGATGAACGAACTTCCGACTCGCAGAAGTGCTGAAGGAAGTGAAACCATGATGAAAGAAGAGACACCTTTGTCCAGTTTGCACTCCAGTTTTTCTGCGAGTGCAACCTTATTTCTGACTCCTTAAATAGTTTATCCATAAAAAGAGAGAGAGAGAGAAACCATGAAACCTTTCCCTTCCGGAATCCTTGACCCACAACCTTCGCAAGGGGCAACCTGATCTGATTATAGAAGTCCCAAATTCGTGGTGCTGTCGAACAAGGACAACCCTTGCGGGCCTCGTGAAAAACACGGTATTTATTGTCTATATATATAATATATCTATATTAATCGAATATTTATATACGTAGACGATCGTAGACGTAGAGTAGCAAACGTTGCCAGAACTTTGAAACACATGTTGTTTGAGACTCCCAACTCGGTGATTGATCTGGAAACACCCGTGGTCTCAGCACCTCCACTCCCCCACCCCGTGGCCTTGCTCCCTGCCTCGGAGCAGCAGCCTCGGGCCACAAGCCTTGGATGAAGTTGGGTGGTCAGCATGGAGGCTCTGGGTCAACATCTGGAGCTCAGCTTTCCCCCTATAGATTGACCATGTCTGGAGATCTATTCTCTTCATCTTCGGTTCGTGCCATGCCAGAGCCTCCAAGCTGTGTGCCTTTCTATAGGGTGGGTCGGAGATCTTCAGTCTGCAGCGGCAAACATGTACAGAACACAAACAACAAAAAGTTTTCCTGGAGTGTCACATGTCGGGGTGGTTTTTAGTCCCATCCAGTGAGTGGATGTTCTGGGCACCAACTTGGGCACCACTATCCTCCATGGATCGCACCCCGTCTTGTGACTGCTGGTTGACATGTCTTGACATTGGGCGGCCCTGCTGTTTGGCAAGTCTGAGAAATGGGTCTGCGGTCTGCGAACTTCCGTTGCCAAAACCGAGGCCTTGCTTTCTTTACGAACAAAACGCCCAAAACCATTCCGGTAGAAGGGAACATGGACTAGAAACCAGCTGGGTTCTGGTGTGTGTGTGTCTCCAACCTTGCTGGGCTTGGCTATATCGTCCCTTTTGGATGCACAGGAACCAACAAGTTCTTCCAGTCGCACATGAACCAAATTGAACTATATTGAACCAAGAGGTGTCAGCGACCATAGCCCTTTTGGGACCCTGGAAACCAGCTGCTTCTTTCTCCGGCCGATGCTCCTGCAGCTGCTTCCTGCCAGCGCGCCATTGCTGGGGAGTCGGATTTGTCCAGAACAGCCGCATCTGGCACCCTTCCTGTTCGGCGTGAAGAACGCGGCGCCGATCGATGCCGATCTGGTCCATGAAGATGATGAACAGGGATTCGGGTAACAGCCGTTCCACAGGAGCGCTAATGGCACCCGAGTGGCTATGGGTACCCCTAGTATCTCCTATCCAAGAGCCTGGTTGGAAAACCCTCCACATCTGTCCTGGTGAACAACTGCAAATACTGTCCCGTTTGCCGATATGTGGGTGATGCTACTTCTTGTCACCTAAACAGAGTATATATAGGTGATGTTGTTTCAACATGCTGCCACGAGATCCGGAACAAGGCTCTCCCTTGGTCTCCTGGTCCACCACCTAAATAGGCGACAGGACAACCCCGGCACAAACCCACCCCCCCACCCCCCCACCCACCAAACCCAACCCAACCCCAACCACAGTCTTTTCGGATGTGGTGGAAGCTCAAACCACTGGTCCAAGACACTGAACATCTGTCAAGTCGAGCTCAAAGACGCTGGTGCCGCGCAAAGCTCGCTCTGGGCAGGTCGCTGATGGTCTGAAAAACAACAGAACTCTTAAGTGGCGGGACGAGTATCCAATGAATGGACTGGTTACAGAAGACACCTACCAGGATTTTCACACGATTTCACCCAAGACTATGGGTTTCCTGTAGATCTTCCCTTAAAGCAATTCTGGGAACAATGATCAACGTAAGTCATCTGCACAAACGGGATGGACAAAACAAAGGACCAAGCGGCCAGTGACTCCCTGGCACCGACACAGATGTGACCCTTTGGCAAAAAAAGAAGCTGCCAGTGACTCTTTGGCTAAAAACACGTCTACTAACACGATATTCTTATAGCTATAGAAGTTACCAGGACAATCCGACCATCTGGATTTCTTGATCCTGTCGATCCCACTCCCGGTCGTAGTGTATCCGTCCCACACGATTCATGCGACAGGAGACAGGACAGATTCGTGACGACTCGATCGGTCACGGACTTCGACCGGCCAAATCGGCTGGCACGGCACCGTGACATCGTGGCATTCTGCCCAGAAAACAAGGATCGGACCACCAGGTGGCCTACGAGCAAATTGAACGAGCAAACGAACACGTTGTTTTCGCCGTTCTTCCGGTTTTCTCAAGGTGGACTTCTTTGCACCGAAAGAGCTTTCCCCCAAAGGGACTAAAGATTGGAATGAAACGAAACCCATGTTAGGGGAAAACATCACAGTCACAGCAGTCACTGCAGTCGGAGTCCAAATCCACCTTCGAAGTTCAGCTCAATGGAGAGGCGCTGCTTCTTCCTGACCGATGACGAACGAACGAGTCCTTCGATGGTGTGCTCTGCTCTCGGGTTCTCCGCAGCATCTTGACGTTTTCACGCGCGGACCCGGATCTCCGGAAGCGGAAGAAGGGCCAAGCTGGCCATGGCAGCTATTTGGACAAACAAGAAAAGACCAACCTCCCGAATACCCACACTGATATTACTGATATGACAACAATATATAAAATGTGAACACATCTCATAATGTATGTCACCCCTTCAAACAAGTGCTTCCCTTAAGGTCCCTGCTGGCACAGCTGCATCGCCCGTCGCGCGATGGCCGCAAAGGCATCGCCAAGTAATTTCGGACGGGAAGGACGCGACGGATCTGGAAGGATGGAGGTCTGAATTCAGGCGAAGACTGCGACATCGGCGTCAAATTGAAGCAGACCTATAATACTATCATACTGTATTTATACTATATTTTGTATATTTATGTTGTATATAATTGTCATTGATATCTGCGTGGTAAGCTTAACATTGAATTAGTATAAGCAGTATAGGACTATGTGGACTCATCCTGTTTTCATGATGTCTGGCTTGAATGTCTGGCGCATCAAAATGGTGAGCTCTGTCTGTCAGCGACCTTCTCAAGATCTTTAGGCCGCGAGCTCCAAACATTTCGTCCGCCACCGTAGACAGGTCTGGTTGACTCCGCTTCGTCCAAGACAGAGCGGCATCAAAACCGAGACGTTGCCGATCCCAAATCGAAAAGTGACAGTAGTAAGGCTAGGAGCCCCTAGTAGCGTGATTGCTCCTAGTAGCGATGCCAGGAGCCCCTAGTAGCGTCCTTGCTCCTAGTAGCGATGCCTTTTGTTCCGAGTAGCTTCTTGCTCCTAGTAGAAGAGGAGGAATGGCATGTTCACACCAGCCTGCCATTCGTTGTGAGGGTGTTGAAAGACTAACCAGTATGGGTGTCGCTACTGGGCTGACTGACCATGAAAGCAATCAACCCGCTGCGTCTGTTCTTTTCCAGGAAACAGCTGGCCTTGCTCCGTGCTCATGTAGCACAGCCATAGCATCCACATTAGTGGACCATGGCTTCAACCGCCGGCTTCAGTCGATTCACTCAAGGACGCTAAACAGGCTCTTCCTACAGCTCCCAAGACTGCCGAGAGCACCGAGAACGAGAGCTTTGACCAGCAAACACTGCAATTTGAATGGATTGACTCACTTGGGAAGCTGTCTCAGCATTTGTTGAAAAAATCACTCCGATCACTTCTTCTTCCTCAACGGGCATCTCAAGGTCTCAACGAGCAAGCAGCTAGGAGGTAAATCAAATAATGACTTCTTATTACTTATGCAAGCTTAGGCCATCGCTAGTAGGTTGGAGGCCATCGCTACTAGTAACAAGAAGCTACTAGTCATACTAAGAGACAGGTAAGCACATGCAAGAACGTTTTGTTTACATGTTCAGAGAGTCAAAGACCGGATTCTTGGGATTACTTACACTTCCATGACAGGTCACCAGGTACTGATCCAGCATGACTCAGCCATGGTTTGTTCCAGGGAATGGCCAGAAAAAGGCTTTGCCTTTAAAGTCCCCAAAGTCGAAGATGTACAACAACTTGGTCTGCCAGGGCTAAAGCGTGTCATCTACACGATCACGTCCGCCGTCAAACCGCTCTCTGAGGAGGCGACCGATCCGTCGTGCGGATGCCCGATCCCCCGCTGAACCGATCCGCGGCCATACCGTCATACCGTTCTGCCCAGCAGCGTGCCGTGCTTGCTGCAAATCCAGTTGGTGAACTCCTGAAGAGAAAAGCTGTTTTTCAGAGAAAATCTAAAACTCCTGATCTTTCTTTAAAGAGTCCCCAAACGCCATAATGTTGGATCTTGATTTGTAAAGCCCCCCCCTCCAACAGATGGGAGATCCTCTATAATAAACTACCACCAAAACAAATCTGGGTTCCTGTGAGGGTTCCCTTTTGTACTTGATGGTAGTATTAATTTGCCTTTCTAAAATTCTTTGTCATTAGGTATTCTTTGCAATCCTTTCATACTACTACATAAAGGATTGATTAAGGAATTGACGGCTTTGGGAAGAAGAACTTGAGAAACCAATACTTAGCAAACTCTCAGCAAGCCAACCATTGGCTTAGTAGTATTAAGAATTACTAATTATATTGTTTCTTCAGGATAACACTTTGCACAATTGAGGACCCTTAAAACCAACTCATTATTGAGGATCACGGGCCTTCCTGGTCTACTACCTTGAAAATTTGTTTAGGAGCAATCTTTACATAAAGGATTGATTAGGGAATTGATGGTTTTGGGAAGCTGTCAGTTTTGAAGAAGAACTGTAGAAACCTATACTTATCAATACTCTCAGCAAGCCAAGAATGGGCTTAGTAGTATATTAAGAATTAATATGTTTATTATATGTGTCTAAAGGAAATTTATACGTAACCCTAAATATGTTTCAGAAAATAAAAAATTAAGATCCCCCCCCCAAAAATCATAATAGAGGACCCTTAAAACAAACAGGGTGTCAAGAACTATTTTTTCCAACATTTAGCATTATAGAGGGCCCTAGGCCCTAATCAGCGTCCAAGCCCTTACGCCCTGCTACCGACAACAACACGAGTGGCCAGAACCACGACGATCCGACGATGAATAAAAACCGTGTGACTCGACCCTCTCCCAAAGGAAAATATTGCGAAGAGCATAGATGCGAAAATCCTGTGAATCTTTGATATCGTCTGCATGGCACTGCAAGTGGCACTGCATTGACTGCAGCTGATTCACGTCCGATTCCAAGATTCCAAAAGCTACGGTTCTTCGTCGTTTTGTCTTGGTGCTCCTCGTAATCGATTTCACCATCCTCGTTCTCATCCATGGCCTTTCAGCAGGCATTCCAAGGGATTATACGAGGGTCCAACATCCTCTGGAAGTACACAACACTCCATGGCGGTACAGCTGGACCACTAGGTGGACCCCATCAAGGCTATTGATTCTGCTAGCGGTTGCAAGTCAGTTTTGTTGAACCAACAAAATCTGATGAGTTCTGTCCAGAATCTATATATACCATGATAATGATATGTATATTATCCTATATCTGTCCCTGTGAGACCAAATCTCGAGCCAAGGCCTTCATCAGCTTCGTCAAGTCCTTCTTTGTAAAGGCAGGATTCAGCATCACCTGCACCGGATACAAAAAGTGGATCCAATCCAATCCGTCTCATTTCACAGTCACTCTTAGGTTGGAGGCCATCGCTCTTACGGCTCTTAGGTCGGAGGCCATTAAGGGCAATAGCCAGACACGACCTGTCTGGGACAGGAAGAGATGCCCAAACAAAGCCATGAAAACCACCACTCCGATCGGTAGATATGCCGGCATCGGAGACCTAAAGGCAAGTGCCGCTGTTCTGTGTGGCGCTGGCGTCTGGGGCGGCGAGGGGCGATGCATCGCGCAGAATGCCCGTCTTTCAGTCCAATGTGTTGCTTTCTTCCGACCAACGAGTTCGTTCGTTTCAGTACGCACAGAAGCTTTACTTGAACAACATCTGGCAGTGAGGCGTGTAGATCATTCAGATCATTCAACAAAAACTGGGTGCGGGGCGAGCGTCCCTTTAGAATCTAGAAGTGAACACACTTGTCAGAAACACAACAATATTGATCTGGAAACAAACACCTGGGCCAGGTCGGCCAGGGCCGTCAGTGATGAGCCCACCAGAGTCTCTGGTGACGGTGCAAACGCCAGAGAGTCAGCAGGCTGACCTCATCCTTTGAGTCCTCACCATGCTGATTGCGAACTTACTTGGGACTTCGGTTTCTGCCGCTCCAAGCGCACACTCGGATACGGCCGTGTAGGTGTGTAGAACGGCCGGTCGGTGCGGCGGTCCCACCACGTTGGGCTGGCCAGTGAGTGAGTTCAGGCGCCGCGGCGACCAGATGAGAAGCGAAGCATGTCAGCGAAATGTCAAAGTGCTGAAGGAAATGCCCTAAGCATCATTGGACCCGAACGACCTGGAGGGTTTTGACCCTGCAGAACGCAGGGGTTTGGACCCTCAAAACCTTCACCTTTGAGGGTCCTTGATTCCTAGGGTCCGCCACTGGGATCGAGCCGTCGTTCGGTCGCGACGTCCGTTTCGGTCCTGGTTGGATCCTATACGTCGTCATAGAGGTTGAGGGACCCGAACTAGACTATCCCATAGGCACCCAATAGGGTCCTAGTTCAGGTCACTTAACCTCTCTTGGTTTTCTGTGACGGTCCATGTTCTTACGGAAAGCAGCCGTTTCACTCCCAGTTCCCGTTGCCCCAGCGCCGCGGCTTGAAAGTGACGTCGCAGTGAGTGCGTCAGGACCATGACACCCTGGGACTCCCGGCCAAGACGCGTTCCAGCTCCTCCTTGGTGATCTTCCCATCCTTTCCAGATCGAAGCCAATCGGTTGGCTCAAGGCGAGCCGCTTGGCCCACGGAAGTAGCTAAGCAACGGGGGCACAAAGGGGGCACAAAGGGGGGCCACCCTTTCAGGGCCAACGTCCAAACAGCTGTACCCAAATATCTCCATAAAAATGGCGTATTTACCTTATAGACCTCTCTTCAACCACCCCCTAGCGACTAGGAGCTCCGATCATTTTCTTTGGGCCAACCAACGGAGCCCGAGCCGAGTTCGGTCTCAAAGAGGTCCCGAATCCGGGTCGCACCAAGTCGTGGCCGGGCTTGGCCATTGTTTTGGAGGGGCTCTGAATGTTTTCTCCGGATTTGGATCATCAACAATGGACGAAACGACCGGACTGGATCTTGGATGGTTCATGGACACCCCGAAGGAAGCGGGGCGCCCACGAAGGAAGCGGGTGGCCGGAGCGGGTCTACACACCGGAAGCGGGTTCCCGGAGCATCCGGGTGAACCCCCTGGTATTTCACAGGACAGCTCTCGACCGCCTGGCCATGGCATGGCCTGCAGTCGACTGCCTTTTTCGTCTGTTCGATTCTCACGCCACAGCACCGGAAGGAGCTCCTGAGAACCGTCCTGTAATGACATATATAGGTTTTAAAAGACCATCACCATGGATTGAACAACCTCTTCACCAGCACCACCCATTTCGGGTGGTTCTTGGGTGGTGATTCGATGGAACATACATGAACATACCTCTTCTGTCGGGGGGGTCTGTCACAAACCCACCCGATATATTAGCTGTTGGCAAGTTGGCATAGTCGTACAGTACGTCCTATACATGTATAAAGACGACCTGATATTCATGTTCACCGCTGCAAATACGGAGGTCTTCGGCTTTCGGCTCACCCATTCCATGACCCCCGGGACCATGTCCCTGATGGATCCTCGGATCTTTGCCCAGTGGACCGGTCCTGATTCACGTCCCAGGCCTCAAAGGCCTCGGGACCGGTGGTCCGGTAAGTGGGACGATTCTTCATGTTTTGTCCGTCGTATTCGAAGCCGCTGTTGAGGGTTTCAACTCACGTGTTTTTTTTTTTTTTTTCGGAAAAGGAAAACACATGAGTCAGTGGGTTCAATAGATGGTTCAATCATCTCAATGAGAAGGTTGACCATAGAATATCTGAAACCACCCACCCAAAGGAGCCTTTTCTCGCGTTGACGTGGGGTGGTCTGACTCCTCATGAGTCATTCGAAGTCCTTATCGAATTCCCATGTCTGATGCTTTGAAGACCGTTCTGAATACAAATGAAGAAGCACCCAGCACAGTTTACAGGTCTCCGGATAGAGGGCTTCAGGTTGGCTCAAAGAATCATCTGGGGCAGTGTCTCTGTGTACTTTAGATCGTAATTGACAACATAACATGCATTCAACACTAGCTGTGTTCCCCCTGCAGGCTTTTCGAACAGGGGCAAAGCTCGGTATAAGAACTATCTGGTCAGCCTTTAGTTGTTTCCTTGATGTTGTTGTTCTCTGCCAGAGGGCTCTATTGTTTTTCTATTTGTTCACTCTCTCTCTCTCTCTCTGTTCTTCGTTCCTCCGTTTTCACCCCCTTGGCTCCATCCTTCGCCCCTCATCCATCGCCCCGACCGTCGCGCCGAGGCGAATGACGGCTTGGCCGCCTTCATGATGGTCTCTTCCGCCTCATCCTCCGCGGCCAAGCCGCGCTTCAGCATGGCGTGCAACTCAGTCGGACGGGACTGGATGGGACGGTCCCCGGTCCGGGCGTTCTCCCGGTCCCAGCGAACATGTTCCCGAAGGATTGAGTGTCTCAAGCGGATTGAGTCTCATGTGACGAGTGTCCCATGTGACGAAGCATGCGATCCGCGAAGGAGGGGCTCCAAGTCACGGTCGGCGAAGTTGGAGGCCAACTTTCAGCTTTTGGAGGCGAAGCACTAACTATTCACATGTCCCTCGTTCGTTACATCCTGCCCGAAGACTTGATCACGACCATGACAAGGAGTATGCCAGGTCCAAATGAGACATGATGAGACCTCTCTGCTTTCTCTTAAAAAAGGATCCAAGTCCAAGAGAGTCCAATGGGCCGAGATTGGCGGCCGAAGTGAATTCATTGGTTCCGCTCAAAAGGTGACACCCAAACTGTCCAGTGCTGAGTGATCGTCGCGATCATGTGTCGCAAAGAACACATGAACATGTGTTGAACTGAACTGACATGTCTTCTTCCACCTCAAGAAAATTGGAGGCAAAGGAAGGAACAACCATATTGATTGGAGTGCATAGGCTGTGCAAATGTGATGCATGCCACAGCTGCATGTGTTCAATATATTGCCATGAAAACTCTTCTCAACAAGCTGGCTTCTATACAACCATGTTTACCAAGAGTCAAGGCCGTGCGCGACACTGGCTCTTATTAGCTTGTCAAAACCTTCATGGGCTTGTAGAACCATCACAAAACGTATGCTGCACAAGCTTGAACAACAATTACTGAGGTGGTTGCTGGGGTTGTTTCCCTCTATCCCCCGTCTGGATTACATGGAACACTCGCAACCGACGCAAAAAACAAGTCAAACATTTGTTCTGTGCTAAAGCTCAGTCTCAAGCGGCCACCCTTAGTTTCCATTGTACCACTACCATGGTGTTTTGTTGAATCGGTGGTGTGATTGGCGTGATTACAACATACCTAGTATGGAAGGTAAGTGACCCCTACCTGCAGCAACCATGGCCTTGTTCATAGGTTTTCAATATGCATTGACCTTTTGAAATGAGCTCTCGGCTTCTGTAAGGCTTGGTCCAAGTTCGTGGATGGACTTGGCGAAGCCGCGGGGACCAGGAGAGGGGGGGTTGGGACAGGATTCCCACAGATGATTCCGCCTTTGGCCTCCTAGACCCCTGCTTACCCTGCTGAACCGCAACAAAAAAAGCTCATTGCGACCTGGAGGAGTCGCTTGTGACCTCAATCTGGAGTCGCTGACCTCGGAGTCTCTGCTTGTGACCTCAAGGATGGTGACTGGACCTTCAGCTCCGAATCGGAGTTCGTCCAGGTGCCCCACATCGCCAGTGCCTTTAGCGGCATAGGCGAAGAACTCCTGGCTGTCACCGCTGGGTGGCCGGAGAGCACCGCGGCCCTGAAAACAGCGGTGCTCTCTCCACGGCACGGATGAATGGAGAGAGGAAAGCGATCTGTTCGATAGATCTGCTATCGAAGGATCCCTGAAAAGTAGTGAATCTATTCTGCCGTGGTTTGGCTGGAACCATTTTCCAGGTGTTCAAGCACACACTCGGTGTTCTTTTGAGGTGGAAGCAGCCGTGGATCTCCAGATGTGGTGAAATCCATGACCACGGGGGTTCATCAGCATGTGCAAAGGGTCGCATTTACATAGTTCAGCAGAAATGGCCTGCTGCTGCTACTTCGGCAGAAGGAACATCTTCAGTGATATGAGAGTCTATGTGTACACTATAGTGCGGCTCCATACCGACCGTAGCAAGCGTCAATGAGTGAACCAAACATGTAAACTCATGAGCGTCATCCGAAACGAGCCCAACACACGACCTGGAGACATGGCTTGTATCGTTGATCGTTTCACAAAAACAATGCAAAAGCCTGAAATCCAATTCCTTCGGTCTATCCTATTACCTGTATCGGTGGATGAGGATGGTTCAGTTGCAGGCAGCAACCCACCAACCCATGTCCTCCTTGTCGAGATATCCGCTCTTGTCCGGATCAAACCTCGTTCTCTGTCGCGCCACGAGCATGGTTTTGGATGCACGACAGAGCGGCTCGGTGGACCGAAATAATTCAACGATCCCAGGTTGGGGGAAATTCCCAACTGAAGATCCCAATCTTGCAAGTACTTAAGTGACCAAGTGTCTGAGGCATGCTGCAAATCTCATGGCCAGCTATCTTAGGATTTGGGGCACCAACCTGCTCACGCCACTCGCGTGGTTACCCTGCAAGATGCTGATGTTAAATCTGTCAAGGGGACCGATCATGGGAGTGCCATGGCTTTGAGCAGCGCACAAATGGACTTCTGGTACATTCCGCGCCTGCCACTGGTTTGCGGGTCTTGCGATACATATATGTTCCCCAAAGCCCAGCATGTCACAACTACGCTGTGTACAAAGGCAGTCCTCATCTTTCAACCCACAGTGGCCTTGACTGACGGAGGGTGCAGTACTTTCCTCTACAGTGATCCTCAAGTTCATTGGGGCAACATTGCCACTTTCCTTGATAAGTCGAATTGTGGAGAATTTGGGAGGTTCCACCCAAATCCTCTGGAATTCGGATATCTTCTTCCACCCAAATCCCCTTCGGAACCCAAAAGTTCAGGTGATCGTCGGGACACCACACCGACCTGAAGGCACGCACTCGTCTCCGTCGTCTCCGTCGCCGGCCTTCTGAACAAGTTGTCCACCTCTCGCCCCTCCAAACCAAGGGAAGCCATCGCCTGCGGCCACGAACGATTATAATGAAACAAGAGAAATCCACTCAGCCTGCAGGTCCGCTGTGGATTTCAACTCTGGCTTCAAAAAAGGTATGTTTGATATATTATGTTGAGAATCGTTTGACTGGTTCCATGTCCTTCAACAGCTTCAACACTTGGACAATGCACGAAGCAAAACGCACTAGTTGAAGGGGCTCATCTGAACCTAGCGGGTGACCAGTCACAAGCGACTGCCGGGTTTACCCAGGTGGTACCCGACGGATGTAAATGATCCAAAGCACTTCTCATGCGAAACACAACCCCAAACACTCCATGGGACTGGAATTTGTGCGTGCATTGACCCCTGAAACCACCCCAATGTAGGCATAAATGCCATACATGGACATGGAGTGTCTGGGAACCAAGCCAAAAAAATGATTAAAAACAAAAACTCTGTAGGAAGAAATGGGTGCGGTAAGAGTTAAGTGCATAAACTTTTCATGGGATACTTTGATCAGTCAGCAGCCAGAGTGGTTGCATATCACATCAGTTTCTCCATGGATTGATATGTTTGCACTGTCTGACGGCAGTACATGTTCTGCAGTGAGGCTCTCCTCTCGTCTTCGGGTCCCTGCTGAGTTTCTTAGAACTTGCGTTATGATTCCAACCACATGGAGAGCACAGCGCCAACTTGAAGCCTCAATAAATGCTACTAGGGGCTCCTGGCCTTACTTCTAGTAACAAGAAGCTACTAGTAACAAAGGGCATCGCTGCGAACGGAGCAAGGAAGCTACGAACGGGGCGCTCCTGGACAAATGCTACGTTCGAATCTGCGCACGTCCGAAGTTTGTGTGTCGGAAAAACGGTCCGAACGCGCGTGCGATCGGGTGTCCTTCTGGAACTCCTCCTTGGAGATGCTCCTGTCGTCATCCAAGTTCATGATGCCAAACCTCGCCCAGACTCCGAGTTATTGGAGAAGATGGAATATAGTGGATTGTTGATTTCCACGTGCTTATTGAAACAACCAAGATATTGGTGTAATTCCAGGGGACCTGGGGACTTTTTCGAGCAAAAACCTTTTATGCACCTTTTTAATCCTTTTCAAAACAACCTGCAGCCTCAAGAATGATCCCCCTCTTCACTATATAATTATGCTGAAAGTATATCCTTTCCAACCAGCGTTTCCATCATAAGTCAGGTTTTTCATGTATATTATATATAGTATAGTATAGTAGGATTGCATGCGTCATCATGATGTCATCATGCGTCCGAGGGTGCGCCAGGATTGATGAGCCTCCTCATTGACTCAAAGAAACACACATCGAAGCAGCCCCCTTTTGCAAAGAAAAACTGTCCCAAAATCTTCGAAACAGTTTCGTGTTCCACAGCATGTTTCTTGGTGTTTATAAAGAAATCTTTTCTTGTGCGGAAAACATGCCAACCCAATCCCGTGTGTCCCGTGTGAGATCAAAGCTCGGTGCCATCCTCCCCCGGCCGAGGGGCGCTTCTTTCATACGTTCAATCGGACTGGGCTTGTTGGTGCGTTTCTTCTTCTTCTCCTGAATTGGCCATCAAGAAGATGGTAGCACCCGCACCGATCAGTCGAAATGCCAAGAGCCGTTCGGAAACCCAAAAAAACCTGTGGGTTCGCTTCATCGCGTTCGGAACGCATCACAAGTGTGAAGGTGTCCGATGATGAATCCCCACAACGCCCAAAAGGGTAGCAGGGTTAACACTCAAGCGAGAGCCAGAAACTGGTACTGCGCCCGACTAAATACAGTAATGTAAAGGGTATTGAGGATACTGACAAACCTGTTTGACAGTATCCTCAGTATCCTTTACATTACTTTTTGATGGATTCCCACACCCGGGCACTTGAAATGCTCTAAGGACACTGAGTGGATCTGTGCAAACGTCTTGTTCTCTGGATGGATCCAACAAAATCTGAGTCAAGTCCAATTGCGACATGTTTTGAAGGTCTGAAAGACAAAAAGCAAAAGTGGATGAACACACACTCATGGATATGCGTACTGACTTGATAGCGGTGCCACACGCCGGCCTAGGGTTCCAATTCCTAAGGGTACAGGTAAGAAAGAGGAGGTCCATCCAGTAGAAAACACCGATCGAACGGACGACAGGGTGACGACGGTTCGAGGAGGTCAGTGGAGCTCGCAAGGTCCAAGCACTCAAGGAAAAGCACCGATGCATTAGCCGCTTAC